ATAGAAAATGAATATAATTGAAAGAAAGGTTAATAGCAAGCTATAATTTCATTTCGAAAACAAAATTTCGTTAAATCTATAAAGTGATTCTTACGCGGCTTGATAATTGTTTTAAGAAATAATTCCTTTATTCATGACACTCAAGAAGCTCAAAACCAGACAAAGAATGCTTTACACAGTGACCTAAACGCATGAATAATTTTAGGAAAATGTTTCATGTAGCTGTCATCATGATGACGAAGCTTTTTAAAACATATTTTTTACATTATTACATTGTCTCTTCACTGAGACATCGTGGAATATTACGAGACTAACATAAGACTAATAAGTAATTTAAAATTAACCTAAAATTAGGTAGTAAATACTAAAAAGGATATTTAACAGAAAGTCTCCAATAACACTGCTTACAGAGTCTATTAAGGGGATTCACTAATTCAAATGGTTTTTCCTTTAAACATATTAAAGGGGCATTGTTTTAACCTATAAAGGATTACGTAAAGAGTTAGTGTCCTTTCTTTATTTGCTACGTGTTTGTAAACATTGACCATAATTATAAATTGCGGTGCTCCAGTCGTCGGGACATATGTATTACAATATAGCATTCCTCAATAATTGAATATACAGCGTAAAGACCCAGTTCGAAACCATCGTTCATGAGGTAGACGAGACAATTCAACTCAACAACTGAAGGAAGATCTACTTTGCCTTCCTTTTTTTGTCATATGTTTTATTGATGCTTCTGTTAATCAATACATAGTGTTACATATATACTATACTGTTACTTGCTGATAATGTGATATTAGAGATTTTTAAGAATCACAAAGTATACTGTTATTATCACTCTATAAATGAAAACAATTAATACATTAAATAAAATATATTATTAAAAGGTCCCTTTCGGCAAGGTTCTGTAGATACTGGCAGAGTTTCCCTTTGAATAGCTAGACTAAATCTTTGTCCGAGGTAGCTGCCAGCTCTTTGGTCTCCTGTGATGAATAAAATAAATAAACTGAATGTAAAACATTAATATCACATATTTGTAAAATGATCAGCTCAAGAACTGTATACTAACCTCGACATAACGATTAGAGGGTGTGGTATTTAACTAATCAATAAAAATAGATTTTCATCTAAGCTCTCACACACGCAAAACATTGCGTCAAGTATAATTGTAAATTGAATTTTTAATGGTGATTTTAAAAGTTATCTCTATGCGGTACTCCACATCTAATCCACATTTAAATATTACATTATGCCTCTAAAAATATAATTTGTTATTTTAACTACCCAAATTCAATTTAATTTTAAGAACCAAAATAGAAGTTTACTGCTTGATTGTGACATAGTAAAAAGAAGTTTTTGATGACAATTGTAGGTACAAATTCACTCACAGAGTTGTCTTGAAATTTTTTATACCATTTATGTTTTGCCCACTTATAATTTGATGAATTTGATTTTTATTGATTTATTTACACTTTCTATACAGGAAATCCACTTTTTTTTAAATTACCTTGCTAATAATAAAAATAAAAAAACATGGTGCAACGAGCGTTATCGCTACTAAGTGATCTCTTTCTGGAAACGCTTTTTAAAGAAAATAATAAAAAAAAGAATTGTGACGCCAGAGCGCGAACCCTATTTAATAAATGTTAATATATAATAAATAGTCAAGTCATAAATATATTTTAAATATATCTTACTTCATAAACCGCTCCTCAGTTTTGTACTACCTACGTACGATTGTGTGCATATGTTGTATTATATATTTACGCCTACCGGAACTAAGACACCCACTTTAACTAGAGTAAGGTTGACATTAACATATTAATATGACGTGTAAAGGACCTTAGAAAATAACTGTAGGTACTTGCTGTCTGCAACCTTGATGCATTTTATTCCCTGTGACTAGACAAACTTTCCAGCTTCATATAAAAGCTTTAAAATAATTACCAGAAATTTACAATTCATAATCTTTTCGAAAAAAAAATCTTTTCGAAAATCGACATTTTATGGATGCTTTTTTGTTATTGTTCATGAATAAGCTTCCGTGTTCTTCGGCTTTCAAAAGGCAAATCATTTCTTATATCGAAGTGTTTCTAGAAGTTTCCCGACGAAGGCGTAAATCACCAACGAGTTAGATATATCACGGACTATAAATTGTGTCAAAATGCAAATTTTATTAAGCACCTAAGCATTAAATGTATTACAACTTAATACATCCCTTGAACTAATAAGTTTTCTACGCAATTAATTTTATTGGCATTAAGTCTTAAATAAACTGATCTATTGACAGTAATTACATTTAAATTGAATGAATCGTTTAAAATAGATAAAATATTTGTCGTGGAATAACACGGACTTGAATATATTTCTTACTTGTTATTGACTTTATCTGATTATAGAATTGTTACTTCAGTTCTAGCCATTCATTCATATTATCTATAGCTTTATTGTCTTAAGGTATAATTTACAATATATTACAAAAATAGCGATGTATCGGTTCTTTTCTTGTGTATGAAAAATAGAATTATCTATTATATATAATTTGTTTATGGTTTATTAAAACCTTCCCAGCGTAGAGCCGTTTAATAATTGCAATAAAAACTGAAGGTGTTTAGACTGAAAAATAACTACCCACGCCTTTATATATGTATATCTATATAATGGTGAACAATGATAAGACATTTCCTTTTAAAGCAAAAAATGAATTTCTAAGAACACGTAAAATTTTATTGATAAACTTTTTTGCTCACATCCATGTTTGGTTATAAATTCCGGAAACCTTGAAGCGTTTGTTGTGAAAACATTTATCATTTATATTGGCTATGTGCCTTACGTCTCTTGTCTTTGGCAGATTTTCTTTATTTGCTCAGTTGATTGAGTTTTTCTAGGGTTTGTGACGTCAAGAGATCCACGTGTAGAATCTGAAATATAAGATATATTCCTTAACCTGTGCCTACATATGTATCTATGAGAATATACTACATAAGGCGGAAGTACTACTGCTGAAATGCATCTATGTAAATAAGTTCGCGTTTATATCTAGTAAGATAGTTCTATTCAAATAGCCTTCTATTACTATGAGTAATAGATATAATGTTGTTTAAATGTCCTAATACTTAAGAATTGGAGATTATTTTGCTGCAATTAGGCATTTGAATACGCCTTTGTTTCGAATGTCGTCCAGTTGACACAAAACATACTCGAACTGTATACGAGGGTTTTTCGTCGCTTAAAAACAAAAGACGAATTGGTGCTTGATTGTGGTTGGTCTAACAGAAAGCAGTGTCGCATATCAGTGATCGGTTTTATATTTATTGCATAACAGCACAATGGCAAGAACTAAACTAATAATATAAATAGGTGTCACAAATACCTCTTGTGAATCTCAAGTTACTATCGAATGAAATACAACATCTTTAAACTAATAGCAATATTATTCTTAATTTAAATCCTTTAAAGTTTCAAATACAGAACATTTTATTTGTACCAGTTAAAATGTATCCATAGATCTAAACAATGCATAAAAATAGTCTGTTATCAACTCACACAAAGAAATCGTGGATCTAAGCGATTACAAGAATATGTTTCTTTGCTGATAAGATGATTAAAATCTGTGTTAGTTTTTATATTTAGACGAATATATATGTGTTATGTGATAGAATGTATAAAATTTGGAAAATACCAATTTAAAATGATAGGATTTGTTGTATAAAGATTTTCGATCTGTGTTTATTAGTTCGAGGATTTGTCTTATAAATACATATTTAGTTTTAATACAAGTATAAAATTATCTTGGAACTAAAGGTTAAGCCGGCAACGCACTCGCGAGCCCTCTGGCATTGATAGCATTCATGGGCACTTAACATCAGGTGAGCTTTTGCCAGATTTCCCCTCTGTTCTATACCTTGCAACGCCGTTATACTTTAGATTTGTATCCACCCACTATCATTTCCCTTACAGCACAAATTGTCTTTTTTTCCCGTGACGTTGGAGTTTGAAGTGCGGTGAAATTGAATCACGAATTAACTTCCAGCAACGGTATACGAATGTTTTCTGAAAGTATAGGAAAGAGATTTTTATTTGTAAAAAGAATCAAAATCTATTTTTACGTTTCTACTTTAAATATGAGGGGTTGAGTAACCCTTAACTCTTCAATAACTCTGACGGATAAATTTATAATTAACAAATAAATCTCGAAATAGAAAAACAGCTGGATACAAGTCAGGTGATCGTTGATCTCTCAAAATAAACAGCCATATCTTATACTCGATAACGACATTAATAAAAATATTTAATCCATCGCTGCGTTGATAACCAATAAATTGTATCTGCAAGCACTAATAGATACCTCTGTTTAGTAATATGATGATATACAATAGATAATCATGAGATATATTTTTAATCTATTCCAATGGCCGATAAAGATAATTATTATTTAAACAAATTTTCAATGTAAAATTAAAAATTAATTTATTGTTAGCGATATCATGCTTTATGCTCATATCGTAATGTTTGTTACTATAAACAGGGACAGATATATACTGCGACTGTCGTCTTCCCAATTTTTTAACCAAATATGTTATGACGGGAATCTTATCCATCTTCATGTTACACACAATTTGCCTTAACCACAACGCCACATACTATTATAAATTATAGTAATATGAATCCCCAAAATTAGGGCGTTTGACAATATAGAAAAGAAGTTCTATGTGTTTCTATAAAACCATTTATTCATCATTATTAAGATGATCATTGATACTGATAGCATTTTGTATTGTTACAGGGCGACGCCGAGGCACGCGGGGCTGACTGACGGCCGAACAGCACGCTATCACACACTCCGCCGACCGCAGACGCGACGCACGCGCACCAGTACCCACTCACATCCTGTCAATCCCGCTAACTGCCACGAACGACACAGTGTAGTGCAGTGAAACGTTTAACTTTAAGTGATAATCCTAGTGATTAAAGTTCCGTGCTCGCTAGCCGGGTGAATGCGCGTGTGTTTCGACACCCTCTGCTTTGGATCGTCACAGCGCACAGCTGGTGACGATGAGCCGAGGGGGATAATACATATAGGAGGAGGTGCGCTTACCACGGCGCCCACGGTCAACGGCGATAGACGAGCCTTAGACGAGACGTATAGAGAGGAACCCAACGGTATAATGGGGACCCCGACCGCAATGAATTCAGATTCAGAGAATTGCGTCGCTAACGCAGCGATGTCCAACGACATGGCGCCGTTAATCGAGAGAATAAGGGAATTGGAGGCGTTGCTGAAACAACGTGATCAAGAAATGCTGGATTTGCGCTCGCAACTGGATAAACTCCAGAGCGTGTTTCCATACCAGCAGTTTACAAGAGGTTCGCGGGCACCAAGGAAACAGAGGGCCCAGGGTATTTCCGCTGAGCCGCAAACGAGTTCGTCGCTCCAGGATTTGGCGCATCAGACGTTCCCTATCTATGACAAGAACGAGACGTAAGTACCAGTTTCTTTATCGCATCTAATCTGCAAAACACTTGTTGGTTATCTATCTTGCCTGTAAACAAGTCCCCTTGAAACCAAAGGATAAAACCTATACAAAGACAAATTGTTAAGCTGGGCTAAATAATCACGCTTTTTATCCGTCCCTAGTCACTAGTAGCTCCTAACACGTAATTTCTAGGAACGGATTGAAAGGTACTACCACAGAATAACCAATTAATTATTCATACGTACATAACAATATGAATCTATTATACGTAAGAGGAACCTCTAAAAGTCAAACATAGAAGTAGGGCAATGTAATTTGTCCATAAAGTAGAATTGTCTTATAATTGATATAGCATTCAAGAAATACTTTGTTGCTTGGCGTGCACGATAGGTCATGTCAAAAAAGGTTGAAAGTCGTGGAAACAATATACTTTATACAATATTGTAGTGTATATAATAATAATAAATTAATTAACAAATAATTACGCCTGAAGGTAAATCGTGGTAAATTTGTTATGCACACTATTGCACCTGGTTTCAAGCATCTTAAAATAGCTGGCACGGGCGTTTGTAGATAAATATGCTACATAAAAGGGCACAACGACACATAGCATACATAATATATACATTTACTACGTAGAAGTTGGGCAAAAAAGAGGCACTTTAGTTTCATAGTTGACAGTTGGGGCATATAAAAACGGGGCTCTTTAGTTTTTTAGCTGACAGTTGGGGCATATACAAAAATAGGCTCTTAGTTACTTAGTTGACTATAGTGAGACTGACCCATACATTATATCATAAGAGTTTAAGCGAAATGATTTCAAAGCCATTTCGTAAATGGACATTCGCGGCTAATGATCGTTTAATTCTTGGAAATGCAAACCGATTTTTAATGTCTGATATCTGACCACAATCACGACAGTACTGGCCAATGCCAAACGGAACTTATATTAGATTGTAATTAATGTTACATACGTGTCATAGAATGTTTAGTATTTCATTTAATTATCTTAATTAAAGAGCATTTTCAGTCATTAAAATTGTCGTGCTCTTTACATAACTTACAAGTAACTTGGTTTGATTCAGTCAATTGCCAAGACTTTTGTTTTTACGTTTACAATAACACGTTTTTTTTTTTGTTTACAAGGTTTTAGATTTTTACCTTGTTTAAATTTGATTAACTCATATAGTCCTTACCCCAACGAACATGGGATAGACATTTTTTTTTTGTTATATTAAGGCAAGTAGGTAATAAGTATTCAGTGCTTCGTAACTCACAGTTATTGTTTTGCCAGATATCGAACTTTTCTGTCAATATTGTCCATAATTATATGATGAATGAAAAATGGCATACATGGCCATGGACGAAACTCGGACCTATTGTACAAATGAAAGCATTAAACTTGTTATGTCCAGTACCTATAATAAGTATGAAAAAAAAAGCAAATTGTATAAAAAGCCAGTTTAGGCTTGATAAATTTTGCTAAAGTTGAAAAACAAAACACAAGCGAAGTGTACTGTTACCAATGAAATATTTGACTAAAAATATCAAAATATATTTAGTCTGTGCCTATGCTAAATAATTGTCTGTAAACATGAGACATTTATTTGACATAGCTCATGAGTTATTATTAATTAAAAAGCAGACGTAATTTACATTTTTAGCGCTCTGTTTGATGTTGCGATAATCATAAATTTTTCATAGAATTGTATTCCATTAAGTTTATTTACGATCAACTTTATTTGCATTTAATGGTAAAATACAATGAAGGTTGAGTTAAATAAGGTTTTACGACAAAATCAATGTGAACTGCGGCCACACAGACATAATATTTTTTTCATGCTTAATGCCACCTACAATTTATAGCTTGCTCCCACAGTCCTTTTTAACTGAGTTTCAAATTAGAATTTCATACATTTTAGGATTATTATTTATTTGTTTATATTTAAATTTGGAACACTAATTTAAACGACCTATGGAATGAAATTGAATTAGACAATTGTATATTTTGACATTGTTTATTGGTAATATTAAGAACGGGACCCAATAATACATCTGTCTACGCAGATAACACTGTGGACATCAGCTCGCTTCCTAAGAAAAATAAACCCATAAATATACCTATTTCATAACTAGCGTTTGTTTAAAAATCCTTAACATTATTTACTGTATAGTTTAACACTTACACGATACAAATTACTAAAACAAATTTCATGTTTGGCAGTCACGAGACTGTCATTAGTAAATAATGAATTATCTCCAATGGCGTCCATCACAACTCAATAAGACATTGTACATCTTATTGATAAGATCTACTTAGCGACACAGAGAACACATGCAAATGTATGAAAAAATTAATAAATATTAGATTTATTCTGTACGGCTGTGACGCTTGGACAATTAAAGAAGATATCCGCCGGCGCTTGTAAGCATTTTAGATGTGGTGCTTCTCATGCTTATAAGCTGGATCCAGAAGGTCTGGTTAATTATAATGGGTAAAATCCAGGGTAAACGGCGTGTTGGTAGAAGGAAGAAATCATGGCTTGGAACCATTGAGTGGACGGGTATTACGGCTGCTGCTGCCAACCTCCAGAGAGGTCACTAAAAGAAAAAGATATCACTTAGCGATCACTGCTAGGCAACCCAAATTAAGCTATTCGTAGTATAGTATTTAAATATTTATTTAGAAAAACCTTACAGCTTAACCATAATACAAAATAATCTTTGTATCGAAACGCTAATTAGAAGGTTTTACAGACTTAACAATAATATGAGAGAGAGAATGCGTGTAAGGTCTGGGTGTATATGTGTGCGTAACTGAAGCCTGTGTGTAATCACAGGCTACAAAACGGCTTGATTTAATGACATTAAATGTCTGATAGTGTTTTAAGGATATCTTTTTTTAAAGAGCTGCAAGGGGAATTGAATGTCTGGTGTTGAAAAACATTGTACAGTGCAGGTAGCCGATAAAAGAATGTTTAGTGTAATGAAATGTAATAGGAACTGCAAGCAGTGGGGTATTTCTAGGCTTCATTAAAATAAATTAGTGGCACTAAATTCTTTTTAGGTCTGGGCCTCAGTTTTCTGTATCTGTTTCATGATCATTTTTCAATAGGCAAGTAGGCGATCAGCCTACTTTTTGGGTATAAAGCAAGCGTGTTTCCTCACGATGTTTTCCTTGAATGTTAAATGCGCACATAGAAAGAAACCCCATTGGTGCACAGCCAGAGACCGAACCTACCTCCTCAGGAACGAGAGTCACACGCTGAAACCATGGCCAAATTTGCTCGTTCATTAAACCAATATAAATTTTTCACAAGACGAACATCTTTTATATCTGATATATAAATTTTACTTTCGAAATGAAGACATTGAAAGCATCGCGTGATCATATTTGGTACTTAAGTAACAAGTAAGTACTTAAGAAGGATTAATTTGTAATATACTTATAAATTGGCCTATAAACCAACCAGCGAGAGACTTAATGATACTCAAAGAGAACCGGCATACACAAATAATTACACAAGTTGACTGTTCTTGCTCGTATCACATTATTCACAAGCGACTCACCGCGGCTCTGTAGTTTCTACTGGAGAAATATAATGTATATATATGTTAAACTGTATGAATTTTGCATATAAATAAATTATATTTTTATTTTATTATAAATAATTTATTTTATTATTAAAATCGTACTGATTTAATACAGTAATACAGTAGTTGTAATATATTGATTATTAATTCAAATTAATTATGTAAGCCCACTTAACTTTTCAATCATTAAATTACAGGGAAGGTGCTTTTATTCATTAAATTAATTTAATTCTACTGATTGAACTTGAGCGCAATTTTTATCTCCTTTCATAATACCGAAAAGACAAAGCAAATAGCCTCTTTAACGTTGACGCTTTATATGTTATTCGCAATTAACAGCGCTGTAAATACTATATTTTGATAAAATCGTAAGCCGTAATCGTAACCGGCCATTTTAATAGTAATAATAAATTACTATTAAAATGGCCGGTAAACACTTTATTTTAATAATGGTAATATTTTTTTGCTAAATTAAAAAACAAGAGGTTTCTAACATCGTATTAAATTAATTAGTAGAAGTGTTTAAAAATAATGAGTTAAATATACAAGATGTAAAGATTTAACAGGTAGTAGAAGAATACATACATAAAACAGCCATAAACGTGAAATTTTGTTGCTTTAAATAACCAACTGTAAAGTTATTGTTTTATCTATATACATCCTCAATTACATTTTTATTATAAGGATTCTGCAAGGCGCCTTCAGGTAACCAATAATTTAGCATTCACTTACGTTATCGATACTTATTAACGTCAAGGTTTTCACTTGGATATGGAAATTATGGCCTTAAAGTGTTATCTCAAAGGAAATTTGGACCACTTTGCAGTTCTTCCTTATCATTTCATTGATAGGACGTAACATGTTCTGAAAACGGTAAATTTTCATTGACATTTAGCATTAACTAATTTGGTTTACCATTCAAAAATATGTGCTGTTAGCCTAGGAGCTAGACGCGACTCAACCTTTACGACGTGCGTTCGAATACCGGCTTTGACCATTGAATTTTTGTGTGCGCATTTAATACTTCTACGGTTAAGTCAGTTACATCAAAAAGTTACATTACAAATAAAAACATGTCACATACATTATTATTGATGCAACGGGCGGCCTTATCGCTAACAAGCAATCTCTTCCATTCAACCCTAGATAGGAAAATAACTAAAAAAAGGAATGCTAAAAACACATTGCAAGAAATGCATAACGAAATCTACTGAAATAAAATAACAAGTAACGCAAAACTATACAAATAAAAATATTAATAAAATAAAAGATAGACTAACATTGTGAAGTAAATGGCTGATGACCTATATGCCTGTAAAGAAAAAATATATTGAAAATTGTTTGACTAGCTTATATAATGGATATGAATAAATTTTGGCTTTAAGAATAGACCTTGGAGATTTTAGTATTAAAAA